TTCCCCTGCTGCTCTCCACTGCCTCCGTGCTGCTACCCACCCCACAGCGCCCCCTGCTTCCCCCCACTGCCCCCCACATCGCTACCTGCTCCACAGTGCCCCACGCTGCCGCCCACTGCCCCCACGCTGCTACCTGCCCCACAGTACCCCCTGCTGCCCCCCGCACCACTTCCCGCCCCACAGCGACCCTGCTGCCCTGCCCACACTGCTACCTAGTCGTAGTGCCCCCTGCTTCCTCCCACACCGCAGGGGGTGCCGGGGGGCGGGTAGTGGTGTGGGGGGCAGGGGGGAGAAGCAGGGGGCACTGTGGGGTGGGTAGTGGTGTGGGGGGTAGGGGGGAGAAGCTACCCACCCCACAGTGCCCCTTGGTGCCCCCCACTGCCCTCCAGGATGCTCCCCACCCCACAGAGCCACCTGCTGCCCCCCACGCCACTACCTGCCCCACAGTGCCCCCTGCTAACCCTCCCCCCACTCCCTGCTGACCCTGCTGCTTGGCCTGGGGGTCGTAGATCCAGGTCTCCTCGTCGTCGAAGTGGGTGTCTCCGGAGATGGGGTGCTCCCCAGGGAAGAAGGCGTGGGCCAGGGTGCTGCCCGGCCCATCAAAGGGGTACCCGTCCTCGTGGAAGGAGCGGCTGAAATCCACCAGGATGTCGGCGCCGGCGCCGGGCGCCTCGCGGAAGGTCAGGGCCGAGGCGTTGCCCCAGGCCTGCAGGGCGTAGAAAAGCAGGGTGCGGACGAGGTCCGGGGACAGGCTGGAGGCCTGGGGGTAGGAACGGACCCTGTCGGGGGGAGGGCGAGAAGGAAAAGGAGGGAATGAGAAACCGGGGAGAAGACGAGACTGAGGGCGAGAGGAGAACAAGGGGGTGAAGGAGAAAACGGGACCAGAGAGGAGAAAACCAAGAAAAGAACCCAGGTGTCCGGTGCTTACTTCCAGGTCAGCTCCTTGACAGGCCAGACGCTGCCGCTGTGGGCGTAACGCTTCCGCCGGCGCATCAGCTCCGAGGTGCCGATGATGTCGGGGAGAGAGCAGCGCGGCTGGTCCATCATCACCAGGGTCCTGTCGTCTGCAGAGAGAGCAGGGATAGATCCCAGGCATCCGGGCTCCCAGCCCTCCCCACCCTCTAGCCCACTAAACCCCATTCCCCTCCCAGAGCCGGGAGAGAACCCAGGAGTCCGGGCTCCCAGCCCCCTCGCTCTAACCGCTAGACCCCACTCCCCTTCCTGACCCAGGAAGAGAACCCAGGCGTCCTGCCACACCTACCCAGAATTCCCGTCTCCTGCAGTCCCGCAAATTTCTGCATCATTCTGACGGCGTCATGCAGCCCTTCCTCGGTCTGGAGTCGGGCCTGCATGGGGTCTGGGGGGGGCAGGTACCCGTAGCGGGTCAGCCAGTCCTGGGGGACAGGCGGGGGGGATAGCAAGGAAAGGGTTAAAAGCCTGAGAGGAGGGGGCAGCTCCCAGCTCCTCCAGTCCTGGCCTCTCCCAGCAGGGGGCACTGTGGGGAGAGGGAGGGGTACTGTGGGGAGAGGGAGGGGTACTGTGGGGGGGCTCTCGCTCCCTGCACCCCCCCCATCCGGTCGTGGGCTCAGAGCTCCCATTGTTCAGCCAGAGGCAAGCGAAGATCAAACAGACGCCCCCGGGTTTCCCTGCCCCCCCCCACTTTCCTCTGCCTCCCCCCAACCCCCACGCCTTGCTGCTGGATGGGGGGCGGGGAAGGGAACGGGGTGAACGACCCGGCCCAGTTGCAAGGCACAGGGGGACGGGACCTAGTGGATCCCTTCCCAGAGAGAAGGATCACTCGGGAATCCTGGGAACCAATCGACCCCCCCCCCAAAAAAACCCCTGACCCAAGCAGGGTCCCTTGCACCTGGAGCTGGGATCTGACAGCTGAGAGTCGATGGATCCTTCCCACCAGAGACCGATTGATCCACCCACCGGAGACCCACTCGAATCCACCAGATCCCTCCCAAGGCGCAAACAATATGGGAGCCCAGTCAATCCTTCCCGCCATGGGCGAAGGTGGGATTGAATGGGTCCACGCTCCGAGGCAGACCCGGGATTGGGGGGTTGTTGGATCCAGTTGATCCCAGCCACGGGAGTCAGGGGGCAATGTGACCCGATGGAGGTGAGCGGGATCTTGTCGATTCTCCCCACTGGGGTCTGGGACCCATTGGGGCTTTCCCAGGGGGTGGCGTGCGGGGTACAGGATCAAGGGGATCTTCCCCACAGAGCCAGGCAATAAGTGCTGGGATCCAGTTGATCCCACCCATGATACAGATCAGATCGAATCGATCCCCTTGACCATTTGGACACAGAGGGGATCCCTCATATGGTGGGATCTAGGAGATCCCCACAAGAGCCAAACAAAGCAGCCACCCAGCGGATCACCTAGGGCAGCAAATAAACATGGGACCTAGCCGATCCCTCTGCTGAGGCAGGTGGAAGCAGGATCCACTGGGATCTACCCACAGCTGTGGGATCCAGTCGGTCCTTTCCCAGGTGACTGGCGGAAGCAGACCGGATCCCGAGGGGTGTGTGGCTGCTGGGAGCCTCCCCGGGCAGGGTCGTGGATTGGATCCCGGGGGATCTGGGATCCAGTGGGTCTCTCCCGGGGGAGGGGGGAGGGGAGAGGAAGCAGCCAGGAGTTAATGGGTTTCTCGCCTCCAGTCTGCCGGCGCCTGCGGTGAGGAGTGACTCGAACCGCCGGTCGATTCCCGGCCCAGAGCATCTGGCAGAGACTGGGGCGCCCCTCCTCCACCCTACTGCCCTTCCAGGGGACCCAGGCGTCCCGGCGCCCTTCCTCCACCCTACTGCCCTTCCAGGGGACCCGGGCGTCCCGGCTGCCCTCCCCCACCCTACTGCCCTTCCAGGGGACCCAGGCGTCCCGGCGCCCCTCCTCCACCCTACTGCCCTTCCAGGGGACCCAGGCGTCCCGGCGCCCCTCCTCCACCCTACTGCCCTTCCAGGGGATCCAGGCGTCCCGGCTCCCCCTGCCCTTCCAGGGGACCCAGGTGTCCTGGCTCCCCTCATCCAACCTACTGCCCTCCCAGAGAACCCAGGCGTCCGGGCACTCACCACGCCTTTGCTGAGCCGCTGGGTGCTGGGCCGGCCGGCCGGGCTGTGGGGCAGGCAGAGCAGGGTCCCTAGCCCGAGCCATAGGGCCGGGAGCCGCAGCATCGCGGGGGGGCGGGGAGGCTCTCTCCACCCCAGGGGGCGCTGAGGGTGTGATGCTGCCCAGCGAGCTCGTCTGCCCTATATACCAGCCCCCCCCCCCGTCTGGCTCCGCCCCAGCCTGCATCAATCCACACACAGCAGCCCGGACTCCTGGGTTCTCTCCCTGGCTCGGGGAGGGGAGTGGGGGCTGGTGGGTCAGAGCAGGAGGGGCTGGGAGCCAGGACTCCTGGGTTCTCTCCCTGGCTCGGGGAGGGGAGTGGGGGCTGGTGGGTCAGAGCAGAGGGGGCTGGGAGCCAGGACTCCTGGGTTCTCTCCAAACTCCCCCCAGGCTCGGGGTTGGGGGATTCGGTCAGCAGGTCGCAGAGCCGGCGGGGGGAGGGGGGAATGGCGGGGGGTCTGTTTCTTTCGCTCTCAGATCCCGACCCCAATTAGCCGCTCTGCCCCCCTGGAGGAAACACCCCCCCACACCTGCTGCTTTGATCCCCCCACTCCTTCCCCACTAATCTCCCTCTATTTCCTCCCGTCACACCCGGCTGCCCCCCACCAGCACCCGGCAGGCGGGGGTCACATGGAGGGTCCCACAGACCATGCCCCTTAAAAGGGCCAGGTGCCCCCTCTGCTGCACCCGACCTTCTCCCCATACTCAAGTCACCTCAAATACCCCCTCCGCCTAGATCTGCCTCCAGCCCCCCAAACACCCCAACCCCCTAGACCTGTCCCCAGGCCCCAAACACCCCAGCCCCCTAGATCTGTCCCCAGGCCCCCAAACACCCCAGCCCCCTAGATCTGCCTCCAGCCCCCCAAACACCCCAGCCCCCTAGATCTGCCTCCAGCCCCCCAAACACC